TGAAGCAAGGTCCCTCAGCTCCACAGCAGGTGTTGGAGGGCAGGTGAGAGGTGGTGAGTGCTGCCCAGGCCACTGCCAGACAGTGAGGGGTCGCCAGCTCCTTGCAAAGCAGGCAGGGGTCTCTGCCCAGAGTTCAAAGAAGAGGTGTGCATGGGAGAGACAGGGCAAAAGGTGTAGGAGACACACTTTTCCTGAGAAGTTGTCAGCCTGTTAAGAGAACGTGTCAGACCCAGGGCTCTGCTCACGTGTGGCCTCTGTGTCCAGCATAACACCCAGCCTGGAAGGGCTCCATCAGGATGGGGAAGGGTGGCTTATGAGGGAAGATGCATAGTGAAGACATAACCAACAGCATCACCTGGCACAACAGACACGCTAGCCTCCCCCATTCGCTACCCATGTGGCCTGGCCTTTCCCTTGAGAAACTTTGGTCACACGGAGCCCTGGTCTGGCTTCAGCCCCAGGCCCCAGGCAAGGGTCCCTACTGACTGCAGAGGGGCAGGGCCTGCAGGCACAGTTACCTCCGGTGGGTGAGGAAACTCCCATTGGCGTGGCCAGAGCCGTCACAGCCTGGGGTGGGGCAGGTCGGTCCTTCATTCTTCAGGGACTTCCAGGAGAATGACGAGCCATTGAGGGAACCTTCCTTCTGCCTGCGGGCGGCCAGTGGGCAGCCGGACGCGCTCCTGTGAGAGGCGTATTTTCCACTGATGTGACCAAGCCCCACACAGCCTGGAACTGGGCACCTGGGCACAGAAAGGCCAGGGTGAGTACAGGGGTGAAGGGTTGGGAGGAGAAGCCTGGAGACACTCCCAAGCCAGACACGAGGGAGCCCAGCATCACACATTAAAGGACTTCTGAGTGAGGCAGGGAGGGCAGCTGAGGTCCTGGAGCCTCAGGGAAGAACCTGGCCCTTCCCGGCTGAATGTGGAGACTGCAGGGCCACGCTCCCTCTTCCGCCTTGGCCTCACAGGCCCTGTATGGCTGGAGTCTCCGCAGCCACCTTCTTTCCGTGCCCTCCAGCAGCTATGACCCTGGGCCTGGGGGCTGCCCTCAGGTTCACTCCGAGCCTTGCTGCTGGAGTCACTTCTGTGTCACTCAGCAATGTGGAGCCATGTTGTCAGCTGAGACCACCCAGAGGCTACTCCCTGGGAGCTTGCATCACGCATAGGCCTGGGGGCCTATGGATCCATGAGAATGACAAGGTACCCTAAGCAGGGGAGCTCAGGGACAGCAGGGGCCTGTCACCCCACAGCCTCCCAGACTGAGGCCAGTGCAATCGGGGGGCAATGCCCATAGATGTTGCAGCTTTGCCACAACTGAGATCTATGTTCTAGAAGGAGGAACACAGACCTCATGTGGGGGAGACTCACTAGGATATCCCATAATCACTCCTGCCTGAGGCTGGCCTTAAATGGTGATTTCCTTTCCTTTGTTCTGGGTATTCCAGGAGAGGGATAGAGGCCGTTATGAAAATAACACAAATTCAGATTGGCAAATGCCTTGAGCACAGTGTGGGTCAGAGACAAACGGGACAATGACAGTGCAGAGGGCGCAGGCCCAAGACGTCTCTGAGAGTCTGTCCCCACTGCCTCAGGCAAGGACCTGGACCAGGATTTGGGGATCTGAGGGACCAAGTCATCCAGGAACCCACTCCAAACCCAGGACAAGATCTTCAGTCTGCAAGGTTCATTCTTATCTCTCCATCAGTGAAACTCATCCAAATTAGCATTTGTCACACACTCACAGTGATGATTACCTGGCAACACAAGACCCCAAGAGAGGACATTGCTCCGTTTACAAAGAGATCCACGGGGATACAGGGAAGTCACAGTCAGCGCAGGAAGCGCTCCGGAGGACGGTAGCGGGGGGCGGGGGCAGTGGCAGAGGCTCCTGCTGCAGGGGTGAGATGGGGGCACAGGGCTGCGCTACTCGGTGGGAGGTCAACAAGGCCTGGGCAGGGAGGGCAGCATCCGGCTCCTTGCCCCACACTGGCCTCATCTCTGAAGCTGCCATTTTGGGCACTTCCCAGCCACCTCGGCCAGGGCCCTGCTTTCTCTCTCCACAGGCCCCTCTCTGGATTCTTTTCCCTTTGTTGCTCATCCCACCCACCCAGCCCTCAGAAACTCACAGGACATTCCCTGAGCCAGTCCAAGGCCGTCTCAACCCCATCCAGAGCAGAGACACTGCCAGCGGCCCCTATGGGGGCTTTGGGAAGTTCACATTCAATGTCCAGCCCCCCTCAGATGGGGATGCCTCCCAGCCTTGGGGCCCTGGAGGGCACCTGTGCCAGGCACAGCCGACCCTGAGGTGAGGACCTGGGCTGGGAAGAGGCACTGGCCAAATGGGAGGTGGCTCTTCAGTTACTCTACATGGTCGAGTCTGAATTATTATTATTATTATTGAGACAGAGTCTCACTCTGTTGCCCCGGCTGGAGTGCAGTGGCATGATCTCGGCTCGCTGCAACCTCCATCTCCTGGCTTCAAGCAATCCTCCTGCCTCAGCCTCCCAAGTAGCTGGGATTACAGGCGCCCACCACCACACCCAGTTGATTTTTGTATTGTTAGTACAGATGGGGTTTCACCATGTTGGCCAGGCTGGTCTCAAATTCCTGACCTCAGGTGATCTTCCCACTTCGGCCTCCCAAAGTGCTGGGATTACAGGCATGAGCCACAGCACCTGGCCCAAATCTGAATTATTTTTACTCCCTTTCTTGCAAAACACTAGTCCCCTTCATCAAGGGAAACTGTTTTTGTTCCCCTGGGTCACATACATGGAGAGGATTTCAGATTTCAGGTATGTTCTCTTTCTCACAACACCATGTGTGGAGACTTCCAAGCCGTCAGGGACGTCATGTTTGAAACGTGCTGGGGCAGGGGTGCGGGCACTGAGCTGGTGAGGCCTCTGTGCTTCTTGGGTGAGCTAGTGTTTCCTGTCACGTATTGGGGGGCAGAAGCCGTGTGTGCCAGTGACATGAGAAACACGGCCAGGACCAGGAACCAGAGGTGCATTTCATGTGTCGGGTGTCTGTGTGGCCAGGGGCAGCGTGGGCTCCCCTCTAGGGACAATGGGCAGGGCAGGGGACATTCGCCTCTAGACTCCCATGGTGGCGCCTCCGAAGGACTTTTATGACCAGTTATAAAGCTGTGGCAAAGGGATTTACCACCAAGTGCCTGATGTGACTCAGTTTTAAATAGTGCAGGCATGAGATGTCATAAAAAGGACTTGCTCCACCAGGCTCTCCCGATCACAGCTCACGCACGCTGACAAAATCCCGTCCCTCAGCAAGACCTGACACATCCATTCGAGTTTCTGCTTCGATCTGCATCTGTTTAAAGACGTTAGGCAATTATAAATGTAGTTAAAGTTTATGGCTGGGGAGGCAAACCCCTGTAAAACGGAGGCGTTAAGTGGTCAGGTTCCCTCTGCCATGGGGCCATTAGGAACTTCGTCTATCCTGCAAATGCTGAAATGTTTCTCAAAGTCGAGTCTCCACTTGGCTGCAGAACTCTCGTTTTTTTTAAAGCTAAGTTGACAGCACATTAGAAAGGAAAACTGTTTTTCCTGGTTAATTTGAAAAATGCTGATCTTGATTTTAGTCATCTGCAAATGCAGCACGATTCACTTGTAACATCCCTGCCAGCAGGATCCTTGCCAAATCCATAAAGGTGTTGCACTTATATGATTATATCAAATTCCTGGATTCTCAGGGGCGAAATGTTTTTTTCTGCACCTCAGCATTTAGTGTGCGGCCTTCATAGTACTAACGACCACAAATTTTGCATTGTTAATATAGCATTCATTACAGTTTTATTATAAAAAATAAACAAACAAGCCACAGCCTATTACACCAAACAGCTGCTGGGGCCAGCCCTTCCGAAGGATGTGATGTTGGTCAGTTAGGTTCCTCCAGGGGCACAGCTGGAGCGAGCTACCAAGAGGGGCAACCCAATCTCGGCCAAGTTGCCCCCTCCCCGGGGGTGAGGTCTGCCTGCCCTTGGCCCAGCAGGTAACACAATCAGGGCAACCTGTTTCCTGTGGACATAGTAGGGCCCTGTCCCGACCAAGCCAGCCCCAAGGCCCTGGGCAACAAAGTGTCCAGAGCCATCATTTCCACCGCTCACCTGCTGGGGAACCCACTGCCCATTTTGCCAGATGTCAGCTCGGAAAGTACCTTGGTCCTGGGCACATTGGCCAGTGGGCCACCCGGTTTGAGTCTGTGGCAAAGCATTGCCCCCACCTACAAGTGGGCAGTGCAGAGGACCCACCCCCTATTGGGAGAATAGGCTTGCGAGGACACAAACCCCCACCGAGTAAGACAACACAGAGGCAGGGTTCACCTGTCAGCCCCACGAAGACAGTCAGCCCCACCCTGCCCCAGTGGGGAGAGCAACAGAGGAGATTCTGTTTGCCTCAAGGACTTTGGGTCACTTAAGGCCACAGATGTCCTCTCCTTCACCCAACAGTGTCTGGTGTCCAGTTTAGATCCTCCCGGCTCTCTCAATCTACCAGCTCTCTGCATAGGTGTGTGGGTGGACGGACACATGGGATTCGAAGCTTCAACGTCTTTCTAACCACCCTCTTCTCCTTGACTTCTGCATCTCACCTTTCCTGCAGACAAAAGTCTGCAGGTTGCAAGGCCCTGGGGCCCACTCCCAGGTGGCCCTAACACATAGGTAGAAGGGTGCTCTGCCTCTCCCAGCCCCGTCAAATACTCCAGACCCGAGAAGTCCGGAGGCTCTGGCACCCATGCCCTCCATACGACACTCAGGGCTCACATCTTCATAGGTGCCAACGTGCAGTATGAGAGCTTCCATAAAAACGAAAGTTGGCATTGATCAGTTAGGTGACCCATTGTATTAATGAAAAGGGACTCTAGTAGGCATTTTTTACATTACAAAACACAGGAAAATCTCAATTCTGCAAAGCAATGAAAGAGCCAGCATGGCCCAACGTACTTCATCAGCTCGGGGTCCTCCTTGTCGTCCTTGGTGGGTGCCACCTTGACTCCACTTTTCTTTGCACGAGGGCAGCCGGACAAGCTGATTTTGAAAGAGGAAAAAAGGCCACCTTAGTGCTAGAACAGCGGCTTCTCACACCCGTTCATCTCATCCTCGCCCCTCACGCTCTGTGACCCCAGGTTGGGGTGGGAGAGAGTGAGGGCAACTGATGGATCCATTGTAAGAAGCAGAATCCACAGACACGGAGCCTTCGCACGAGGCAGCAGGGTCAGAAGAAGCAGCATTTCCATGAGCCCCTAACCCTGACACTTTGTCTTTTTATCTTACTGCAGAGGGCAATCTAATCAGGTTCTGGAAATGGCAACAATTCAGATTAAAGAGATGGAAATGGACTCCAGCGGTCAGCAACATTAGTGTCTTCCGATCTTCATCTAAGGAAGAGATTCCCTACCCACCCCTGGGGCCCAGGACCTGAGGGCACAGCAGGCTCACCTCCGGTGTGAAGCGTAGTTCCCTGTGATATGGCCAGAGCCGTCACAGCCGGGCGTGGGGCACCTGCAGAGGAAAGCAGAACTGGAACCAGAGCCCGGGAAGACTGGAACCGGCCCAGAGCCCTGGGACTCCCAGAGGAAAGCCTTCCGGGCACAGCCCTTGAGTGAGCCCACTCACATTCCCTTGTCCACAGAGGAACATCACTGATGTTCACCCCAGCTGCCTACTGCCAGCAACAGAGGTCTGATGAGATCACCTCAGGGCTTCAGTACTTTGCTCCCCTGTCTCCCCAAGGGAGACCAGGAAGTCTGAGAGGACAGCAGCCAACTGCTGCTCCAGCATCGGTTTACACCCAGACACCAAACCTGGGCACTGGGACAGGCCTACAGGGTCCACAGCAGCCCAAGGACACGAAGGGCTCCCAGCTTGGACTTCTGTAGGGTCTAGGCTGCACTAAAGGCATTCAGAGCATATCTGAGCCATAACTTCAAGCATGAGTTCTCCAGATCCTAAGACCAGTTCATCTTCTTGGACGGGCTGGGAGCTTGCCCTCACAAAGGGTTGCCACTATGGGCTGGTAAATGAACAGAGGCTTTTTTGCACACCTGCTGCATAGCAGATAGCGCTGGCCATGCCAGGCCTGGCTGTTGTGTGGCGTGACTTCAGAGTTCACACAGCCAGTAGCTTATAGCAGACTAAGGAGAAGCACAAAAGTCCAACTTTATACACCCAAAACTATGTGATGAATGCATCACGTAAAGTGGTACAAAATTCCACTTTAATATTACAAGCACGGATGCTATTTTCTTCCGAATGTCCACTGAGGAAAAATATGTGAGTTCCTGCTGATGTTAGAGTGGGAGGAGGTGACCTGATTGTGCGGGTAGATCCATCCCCCGTCAGGGCTGCTGTCTGTGCCTCACCCCTCACGAGCATCCTGACCCTGCAGGAGCCAGGCAAGAGTTCAGTGCTTGTGTCCAGATCACCTGCTACTCATGGGCACTTTGCTGTGGTGCTCAGACCCCAGGGAGGACGTCTCACTTTCCGTGCTGCCGGCCCTTCCTCACCGGAGTCTTCCACCAGCACATGTGACATCTGGCCACTGGGGCAGGACATCTCCTCGCTTAGAGGAAGATGCGGCCGGGCACAGCCTGGCACCCAAAGGGCTATGGTGGCACAGCAGGGCTGGCCCCACCTCTTGCAACCTTCTCTTCAGCCCCTAGGAGTTTTCTCGGGGTGCCCTCGTGGGGAGTCTCAGGTTCCTTCATCCTTGCCCTGTGGGCCACACGTTGGATACCTTGCTGGCCAGCCCAGAGAACTGAAGGTGGCCTGCCTGTCCTTCCTGGGTTGGTAGCTGTTCAAGTGGCCACGTGGGGCTCCAGCTCCTTGTCTCAGTGGCAGGAAAGCATCGGGTAGAGCTCCGGTTCAGTGCGGTGGGCAAGTGGCCACTCAGGTGCCAGAGTGACAGACCCACAGCAGCTCCAGGCCTCGACGGGGATAAGCACAGCATTGGGCTGTGAGTGGCATCAGCAGCAGGGCAGATACTCCCCGATGGCATCTGTGAGTGAGTCTCAGGTGGGGGTATAACTCCCAAGGGGCCGTCAGGTACCTAACACACAGGTGGGGCCGTCCTGCACTCCTCACTGAGGCCGGATTCAATGGCTTTTCTCAAGAGTTGTGTCCAAGAGAGGAAAGTGCTCACATAGTCAGAGGAGCAGGTGTCCCCTCTGCATGCCCCTTATGGCCCTGTGGACCCCCAGGGTCAGCTGCAGGAATCTGGAGCCACCTCCACCCCTCCCACTGCCTGTTTCTGAGTGTCGCATCTGGGCAGAAGGGAGCACCATGTCTGAGGGACACCCTCTGCCTTGGCAATACACACCAGGTCTCACCTCTCTCAGCCCCATCCCTGTGCTGTGGACAGGCATTCTTCACTCTGCACAAAGCCTGTCATGCCCTGGCAGGTGTGTGTGGCTGTGGCCGGAGGCAACCATGTCCTCCCAGCCCTTGACCACATCAGACACATGGGAGGGAAGAGTGAACACCCTTGGGATTCACTTAAAACACAGAACACACATCATCCGACTGTCACTGCAGCCAGTTGTGGACAGGGAGGTCAAGAAAGGAACCTCATTTTTCTCAAGGCCACCTTCACCCATGGCTGCCACAAGGCTGATCAGGAGGAGCCAGTGCCTGATGCCCCCTCACACAGGAGGTGGCAGAGAGCAAGGAGGTTGGTACACCAGGACACGTGGCGGGGCAGGACCACCATCGTCCCAAGCTCGTGCAGTGGTCGGAGTGGGGAGAGGAAGCGGCCTCCCATGGAAAGGCCCCTGGGGGAGAGTGGAGCTTCTGAAGGAGCCTGGAGGCCTTGGCTGCCTGCCCACACCTTGCCGATGCTGATGAGTGGTTCACTTTCACACAGGGGAGGCTTTTGGTCGTTATTTCTAAAGAAGTTTGGAGTCAAAGTTCTTCACAGGCTCTTAGTCTTAAAAAAGCACTAACTCTCCCAGATGGCCATGTCTCCAGGCCGGAGCCGTGCCAAGCTCCTTTCATCCACCTGGGCATCCACTTAGCAGGACAGAAAGGACACGGTGACATTGGGGCCACTGGGTGCACGCAGCCACATTTCTCGCCCTTCAATTATTCAGGCCCTCAAATGGGAAACACCATGGGAACTAATCATAGAAAAGAAAGCAGAACTGGAAAAGGAAAAAGGAATGCAAGAAAGATGGCAAGAGAAGGAAAGAGGGAGAGAGGACAGTCCCAGAAGCTGCAGGACTGAGTGTTTCCTGGGTTTCTAGGACTAGACAAAGTGAGGGGCAGAATGAATGAATAAGTCCATGTGTGAATCGGCTGTGGTGATCTAAGCCTCAGAAATGCTTATGTGGAAGCTATTAACTTCCAGGAAGGAAACTGAGATGGTGCACCCCACCCTGTGGGAACTGAAGGGCCCGATGACACACTCCTCCTGGCTGCTGGGGCCAGGGCAGCCTCCAGAGAGAAACAGAGACAAGGCTGCTGGTGGGGGCTCTGGGAGACTCAGAGCTTTCTGTCCAGCTCTGAGCCAGCTACGGTCCCAGAAGCCTTCAGCAATTTCATTTCCTCATCTTAGAGGCACCAGTGCCCGGGATCCTGTCTGGCCCCAGAATGGAATGAGATGGGGTGTGTTGACCTGAATTCAGGGCCCCCAACACAGAGGCCTATGGGAGGGAGGGACACCCCTGGAGAGGGGTGCCCTGAGGAGACAAGAATGGGACCCCCTTCCTCCAAGGCTTCAACTCAACCCCAGTGCCCAGGAGGTGCTCCCCGTGGCTCAGGGTCACATAGGCTGTGGAGTCACAGCACAACTGGAGGCATGAAAACCAAAGGCAATAACAGTTCCTGACTCCAACCCCAAGAGGACACTGATACCTGGAAACCTCTGGGTGCTTGCGCCTGGTTGTGCGGGACTGTCAAGCAGGCTAGCTGGTGCCTGCAGGGCCTGCCCTGCCCATGTGTTAGGTAGGGGCAGGGAGGTGCAGAAGCAGAAACGGGTGAGCCCAGCAAACAGAAGGCATAAGCATGGAGGAAGGGCATCAGGGCCAAGGCAGAAGCAGCTGGAGCATGACAGGAGAGGGGAGGACATTATCAGCGTTCAGTTCATTCAGCAAGAGCCGCGCAGCCTGTGGCCTGCTGAGCCACGGCAGGGCTTCCATTCCCTGGTCGGTTCTGGGCTTTCCCCAAATCTCTAGGGCAGTGAGAAGGCAGGCCCAGACAGCCCTGTCGGGGGTCTTCAGGAGAGGCTGGAGGGTGGGGAATGGGGCAAGAGCAGCACAGGAGCCTGCAGCAGCCCCTAGCACCCAGCGGAGAGGTGAACAGCAGAGCTCAGAGCAGGGGCACACAGGCAGAGCAGCCCCAGCCAAGCGGAATCGGCCCCTCCACGGCCCTGCCCCTCTGCCCGTCTCAGGAGAGCTAGGGCCAGCTGAGGCTTGGCACCTTGGAGAAGGCTGATTTTGGCAGGAGCCTCATGGAAGGAGAGCACAGCGAGGGTGCCGCCCCAGAGACAGGAGGTCAGGGAGCGCAAACATACTTGAGGTCAGCAGAGTGGGCAGCCATGAGGTTTCTGAGGCTCTTGTCAGCAAGAGGGCAACCAGAGAGGCTGAAAGAGAAGAGATGGGATATCGGGGTAAGCCACAGAGGGGAGCAGAGGAGGAGGAGAGGAGGAAGACCCACCAAGAAGCACCCAGGCCAGACAGACCCGAGCGGGAGACAAACCTGCGGTGGGAGGCATAGTTCCCAGTGATGTGGCCGCTGCCGTCACAGCCAGGGGTGGGACAGCTGGACAAAGGAAAAAGAGTGTCAGGCCAGAGAGTGGTGTGCACCTGTCCCTCAGGCTAAGCCTGCTCTGCGAGGGCGACTGATGCCCACTCCTGGCCCGTGGCTCCTCCTCCCCTCAGTCCTTGGAGGACAGCAGGGGCCTCTCAGGCTGGAAGTTTCTCCCACACAACTTAACTCAAGAAGAAAAAGGAACCAAATTCAAGTTGAGCTTAAAGTTAGGGTGCGGGTGACGCACAAGTGCTGTGTGTGCCCGTGCATGTGCCCATGAATATTTAGGCAGGGAGCGCCTCCCTTTTCCAGGCCCTGAAGCAGCAAGGCCTTCCCTGGATCCAGCCACCCCCAGGAGGGCAAGCCACAGGTGTGAGGGTACAAGAGGGGTTCAGGGTGAGGAGAAGAGGGACCCCAGAAGTGTACTCTGAGCACATGTCAGAGCTGGATCACCTGTGGAGCAGGTGCCAGGCACAGCCTCTCACAGTCCCCTAGCAGAGGTGGCTGGCAGTGAAGGCTGACCTGAAGGTCACTGACATCTGACCATCATCCATCAGCAACTTTGACTGTTCCAGCCCTGTGCGGAGCAGCTCAGACACACAGCATCTGGGCCGGCCAGCATGACAGAGTTGAGGGTGGCGAGCCCTAAAGCAGTACATTCCAGGCCTTGGCCACGGAGCCCTGGGCAGAACATGCCCAGCTGCGGCCTCAGGGAGAGGGTTGGTTGCCCCGAGGGCTTCCAGTGGAGCTCTCTGAGGAACTCTCCTCCACTCTGCCCCTGCTCTGCTCTGTCCTGCTTGGTGAGCTTGGCCAGGGAATTTCTTTGTTCTTAATCACTTTTAGAAGATTGCAGAAAAGCCAACCACAGCGCAGAGGTGCTGGGAAACCTCTGACTGCTCCGGTTCCTGTCGCAGGCTGCCCGGATCAAGGTGGTCAGGACAGGTCGGAGGAAGCCTGAGCAGACCCACTCGTCATGGGTCAGGACCGGGGCCTGTTCCTCCCCAGGCCACAGAGGGTCTCCTAGGAGCTGTGCCGGCCAAAGCAGGGACTCACGTGAGCAGCTCCTTCTTTATGTCCTTGGAGAGAAACTTCAGCTTAAAGTTGGTCAGGGTGACTTCCCCCGGATACTTCCGCTCCTCAAAATTCTCTTCCGACACTTCCTGGTCATCTGCTTCAGAAGAAGCAAAAGAATGGGCTGCTGGCTCTGACTGCAAAAAACCAGCAGGAAGATGTTTTAACCGGCTGGCGGGGAGGCCTGGGCGCCCAACCCGGTGGGCGAGGGAGAGGAACCTTCAGGACAGTGCCTGGAGTCTCCCGTCTTCTGGATAAGGGAGGAAGACTTAACTCCCCAGCGAAACACAGAAGACAGCACGCCCGAGGGGCCGGATCCCTCCCCCACCTCAGCCAGAGCTCCTGGGTTGCCCCAGAAATGAGAAGGCCTGGTGCTGCCCAGTGTGGCAGCTCCTGACACCCTCCCTGGCCTCAGGTGCGTGGGTCCCTTCCACCACGTCACTCCACGGTGTAAACATCAGGATACTGTCCCTTCAGAGCCAGGGATGGCACTCAACAGACAGTAGGCACTAAGTAAGTGTTACTGAAATGCCATGAAGATGAGATGGCACAACGAGGGTAATAATATACAAATTACGATCATTGCAGTGGTCTTGAAACCACCTGGGCCGACACGCCCACCAGTGCGATGCCTTGACCATGGCAGGTACTTGATAAAGGCTTCAAACTGAATGCTGGGTATGGAGGCTCAGTGCTGTGGACACAGGTAAGCAGGGCACAGTCCCCCCTACGGAGGGGCCAGGGGTCCATGAAGGGTCAGAAGGCCAACATTCTGCAGGATGCTGTAACCAGAGCTCAAATTCCAGTCCTGACAAGCACTCGCATGTGTCCCAGGCAGGTGGCTCAGGCTCCTAGGGCCCAGGTGCCACTCTTTCAAACTTGAGATAACAGCAGTCCCTCACGGGTTTTTGGGGGTCAAATGAGGAAATGCCCTTGAAGCCCACGGCCCAGCATAAGAACAGTCTTCGGACAATCAGACCTCGTTGTGGGTTCCCAGGCTCCTCCTCTATAAAATGCGGCAACCTGAGGGTGGTGTGGGAACCAGTGAGGAAGTCTGGCTCCCCACTGAGGCCGGATTATGGAGGGGACCTGATCCCGCCCGCACCCTTCATAGGGGCCTAGCCCCACCTCCCTCATTCCTCCTTGAGGGTCTGGCCCTGCTCCTTCCACAGGGACCCCTTCCACCTCCTGAGGGGCTTTAGGGGAGGGGAAGGAGAGGGAGAGAGAGAGGGGCCTGCTAGTCTCACACACGCTGCTGCTGCCACCTGGACCCTGGGCTGCCCTCAGAGCTGGACTTTTCTCTTCAGGACACACACCTCCTCGGGAAAAGCCCAGAATTAGCCTCTGAGGGCTCTTCTTTCACATGTTTTAAGGAATAACTAAAAAGGGAAGGATCCCCTGCTTCCCAGATCACAGTTCTAACAGCCACGCCAGGTTGGTCCTGGTCTCAGGGACCTGGCACCGCCCACCATGGGTGATCCTAAGCCCATGGTGGTGGGAGGCTCAAAACCCAAGAAACCTGAGCTTTTCCCCAGTCAACTCATGGGATCTGAAAGACGCCTTTCTCCTCCCCATGCCTCCAGAGTGCCCACGTTGGTACTGGCCGCCACACTCCACAGGGGTGACAAGACCACCACCTTCTTGACAGACAAGGGCACAGCATGGCCCTGCTGCTGAAAATCCCACCCAGAGGGTGAGCCCCTGAGTCCCAGCCGCTCAGAAGATGAAGGACCCTTCACGAAAAGGGATATCTCCCCCTGAGGCTCTGCCAGAACCTGTGAGGAGGAGCTTCCTTGAAAAGCCAACATTACTACAACCTCAGGCAGGGCAAGCAGCCTCCTGACTGCCCAGGCGCCTGCACCCACCTCCTCAGGCTCCTCCTCTCTCAGGCGGCTAGGCTTGGTGTAGTCCAGGGGCCGGTCCCACTCGTCCTGGCGGGAGGCCTGGCTGGACTGGGGAGAGGTCATGGAGCTGCTGGGGGCGCTGGTGCTGCTCTGGCGCTGGGAGGTGTCAGGAGACTTCACGCCGGGGCTGCTGCTGCAGCTGCTGCTGCTGGGGAAAGCCTGTTCTCGCTTGCGGTGTTTGTGCATGCTCAAGTCCAGGGTTCCATTCTCATCTACCTCAATATCCACAGACTGCAATTGCAAAGGGGAAATCTGTTAGCGATTGCAGCCCCTTCCCGTGTGTGCCTTCTGGTACATTTTAATCAAATGTACAGAGTCCGGCACACTGGTTCCCATAGAAGGAAGCAGAACAACGCGGACAGACAGGCAGCGAGAGCGGAAAAATCCAACTGCCATTTCCTGATTTCCCATGAAAGAGGCCCTGCAATTCCTCTTGCCCCCCAACAGCACAAAAACCAGTCCCTCAGGACATGTCATAAACACGGGTAGGACCAGGTCCTCTGAGCAAGGAGAGTGTGTCAGTAACCACAAGACTCTGCGGAAAACACATGTGAACAGGGCACGTGCACTGCCCTGGACTCAGAAGGAGACACCTGGGAATGCGTGTGCACCACCCTCAGGCTCAGAGGGAGACACGTGGGCACGCCGTGTGTGCACAACCTCACAGTCAGAGGGGGAGACACGTGGGAACTTGTGCTCACAGCCCTCGGCCCCTCTTCGCTCAGCCTCACAGTCAGAGGGGGAGACACGTGGGAACTTGTGCTCACAGCCCTCGGCCCCTCTTCGCTCAGCCTCACAGTCAGAGGGGGAGACACGTGGGAACTTGTGCTCACAGCCCTCGGTCCCCCTTCACTCAGTACACCAGGTTCTCTTGGTGGACCCATCCAAGCTCTGCGGTCCTTGGGGCCATGGGCAGGAGGGAGAAAAAGTAAAGAATGAGAATTGCCAGCTAGACAGGAGCCATTCCTAGAGACATTTTGTGCGGACAGCAGGTGGGCCTGACTGCAAATTCCACCAACTTACCCCTCCCAAGAAAGGTGGACGCACTGACCTTGCTGGGGAGGTCCTGTGGCTTCGTGCTGAGGTTCTCAGGCATCTCCCAGCAGCGTGTGGAGAGGTTCAGGATGGCAGTGGCAGCCATGTGTGCAGCCTCGGCATCGTGTGAGTAGTCAAAGCCTGCAGAAGAGGATGAAGTGCTCCTCACGTAACTACTGGAGGGGCTGTGCCTGGGGGAAGAGGCCTTTGGGAAAGGTTTGGCTGCAAAAAGGGAACAACACCAGGCTGATACACAACTTGAAAAGAGGCAGCAGACAAGTCAGTGGGGAGGGGGGACTTTGGGAGCGATTCGAGGGCCCAGGGCACAGCTATGTCGACGTGGGCCAGGGGCTTGGCCACCCATCTCAGTCCCATGTCCTCACACACCTCATTCCCACCCACCCTCCTCTAGGGGACTGAGGAGACAATCTCGTTTCTGGCTCAGTGAAAATTTGGGCGAAAAGAATAAAAGCCTCCAAGACATTCCAGCAGCCCTGATACTTCAAACAAAAATAACTTGTCTATCAGAAACGGAAGCATTCTGTAAATAGGATGAGTGTGCCGTATCGCCCAAACAGGAAAATTCTGTGACATCATCTCAAAAGGGTGTACCCATATTTAGGCTGACTTGGTGTCCCCAGTAACCATCACTGCCTCAAAAAAGTAACATTACTGCTCAAATGAACATGGCGAATGAAGGCACGGAATGTTATCTTTTCTAGTAATTGTACTGTAGCCGCAAAATCACTCTCATGCACGATGTTCTCAGCAATCACGATGTCACCAGTATATCCAGAAAGGTCTAGATATATTGGAAAGCTGATCGTGTGGTCCCCTCTCCACTGGTACCGTTGCATTCCCTCATCCAAGCAGGCGTGTGTGCCCGGAGGCAGGAAGTCCTCCACCCTAACGAGCAGGCTCTGTCGAAGTTAGGAGGAGAGGCTCATACCCCACTGGGGCTGCAGCAATCAGTACTTATATTATTCTCATGTAGGAAACCCGTCACTGTCACGTTTCGGGCTGACAGCATCTGCCACAAAACGCCCCTCCCAGTCTCGTGTGCACCGAATGCTTTTCCATTCCACATGCATTTCGGGGCTAATGAGCTTATTCCACAAACTAGGACGTAAGTGACAAGACAAGACAGAAAGGATTGTTCTGAAAGATTTGTAGGAATGATTTTTGTCAGTACAATTACCCAGAAAATTTGTCACTAATGTCACAAATAACACATTGTATCCAGTAAGACGGTCCCCACCAGGAGACCAATGGCTTCCCGCCAGGGCACTGGGCCCAGCCCCGCAGTCATCTGGCCCCACCCAGCCCACAGCCTGACCCTCCCCAGAGGCAGTGCTGGGAAATGGACGCCCGGCTGCATTGGGATTAAACAGGTAGCACGAGGACAGTGGGGAGAGTGGGGTCTCCCAGGGTGAACCATGTTAGTGGAGTTGCTCTGAAGTCTTTGGACACACACACTCATAACGGATCTGGGTTTTGTTTCACAAATAATCAGGAGACACATAAATGTTAATGGTGAACATGAAGGTGGCAGCAGGAGTGAGATGCAGGCCCCAAGAAAGCCACCACAGTGCCCACTGGGACAGCTAAGACCTGCAGCCTGCATCGTGGTCCCCTCACGAGGGTAGAGAGTCCCTCCCTAGGAGCTCCTTGAGACGGTCCCTCCTCCACTGCCCCTTGAATCCTGCCCCTCCCGGGAGCGACACGGAAGAGAAACAACGACAATTCTCCCCAACTTACATTGAAAGGCTTTAGGTGAGGTTTCGCTGGTCTGAATCTTTGGGGCAAGCATGCGTTTGCCAAAAACCTGAGCATCGAAACTTGCGTAGTCAAAGGTGACCTTGGAGAACTTCTCCAGCTCCTTGGCCAAGTTGGCCCTGGGCGTGGTAGGGGCCACGTTGGGCCGGTAGCTCCCATATGGAGGGACCTCGAGCTGCTTCACGAAGCACATAGGCCTGGGGTGCAGTACAGGGATGCACAGCCAGTGAGATGGGACCCGGGGATGCCATGCCGCCCTCCCCAACCCCAATCCACAGCCCAGGCAGGGGCCTCACAGCGTCTGGTGAGGAAGGAGACTCGGGGAGATACTCCCCCTGCATATTCCACCATTAAAGCTGGGCAGTTCCACCTCCCAGGGCCAAGGGCTCCCAGAGCAGGCCCATGAAGAATTGCCTGCAGGAAGGAAGCAATAGGGCCCTCAAATAATCAATGCCTGTCCGGCTGACAGCATCAGCTAGAGGAGGGCCCGAGATTTTCCCCAGAACGTAGGAGACCAGGTTTCAAACAGCTCAGCTACAACTGGAGTGAGTACCGGGCAGAGGGCAAACAGTAGCATAGCCCAGGACAACAGCAAGACACTCCAAAGCAGAATAAGCTAGAACTCCCCAGCAAGGAGGAAGTTGAGGAATCTACAGGAGACACTAGTTGTATCAGGTGCATTTCTGAGGAGTGGTCTCAGGGCCAGGCCTGACCCTTCTTCGTTCAGCCAGGGACTCAGCCCTCAGCTGCCCTCTTCTTAAAGCTGTGTTGAGGTGAACCCTCAAGAACTGCTGGAAGCGTTAATAACAGACACAGAAAAGCTACTGTGAGCACTCAGTTCACTGCCACTAATGCTCTTGGAAGACTTCAGGATTTTACATGCACAAAAGATGGCATGAAGAAACTGGCATAGAAGGCACAGGAGGCAGGAAGACTGGTGGTAGACGCTGGTGACCACACAGGCACAGAGGGGTTTCTGAACCTGGCAGCTCAGAGAAGAGGAGGTCCCAGCAAGCAGCCATGGCTTTCTTTGCTCCTGTCTGGACCAAGCAGTGACTTCAGTCTGGAAAATGTGCAATCGGTGGAATTAAGAAGGAGCTGACAATGACAGCCTCCAAGGTGCCGGGTGCTACGAGAACTTAAGTGTGGACTAAGAACAGAGCCCAGCACAGAGGACCGCCAGGCCAGTCCTGCAACTGTGACCAGCTCTGATGGGCCTGGAAGAACTGAACACTACCAGGACCTGGGTGCGTTCTCCTTCTCCAAGAAGTGTGGGAGCCACAGGATGGACCCTGGCCCCAGTGGCAGATAGAAGAGTTACAAGAGTGAGGCCAGGAGGGAAAATACTAACTTTAAACTTAACATTGGGTCAGGTGTGGTGGCTTATGTCTATAATCCAAGCACTTTGGGAGGCCAAGGCAGGTCTGTTGAAGCCAACAGTAAGAAACCAGCTTAGGCAACGTAGTGAGACCCTCTCTACAAAAAAAATTACATGAAAAAATAGCCAGGCATGGTGGCGCACCTGTATTCCTAGCTACTCAGGAGGCTGAGGTGGGAGGATCACTTGAGACCAGGAGTTTGAGGTTACAGTGAGTTATGATTGAAACCACTGCAGTCCAGCCTGAGCAACAGAGTGAGACTCTGTCACTAGAAATAATAATAATAATAAAGTTAACATTGGTACCACTGTTGATGGCTTCCTTGGCCAAGGCTTCAGTCAGAATCTGTGCATTTATTGTCCGCAATGCCAACAAAGCTTGGCAAAGCCTGTCCTCACACCCCAAAGTTCGACAACCAGAAATGTGGGCTAGACAGAATCAACAGAGCCTGATGGGAGGCCTCCTGCACCCTAGCCACAGTCTCTAGTGTTCAGTGAGTGTTCACAGGGGCTGAGGGCGGCAGAGTCACTTGAGCCTCATGAGCGACTTAGTTTGTTGTCCTACTTTTATAAGTGAACAAACTGAGGTCATAGTCCCAGGGAGCACAGTCTCCGAAGTTGGAACCTGTTTGACACCCCTGCCTGGCCTCACACGGGGGCCAAATCTGTGGTTTGACATTTTATCGGTGATTTAGATCAAAGAGGGAAAGGATTGAATTAGCAACTGACAGGAAGCTGGAGGGAACAGCAAATAAGATAGAGGAAAAAGCATCTTCAAACCATTGTGAGAGCCAGCTGGTGGAAAAGCAGCCTGCTAGGACCTACAGGGCTGAAGGTGCCTGTGTGTGGGCTGGCAAGCATGCCCATAGAGCAGGAAGGTGAGTCTCTGTCCTCGGCCCAGAGATCCCCCGTGTGGGAATCGCACCTTCAGAGGAACCCTCTGGAGCAGGCCAGGGAAGGGCCTGGGTATGACACAGCCAAGGTGAGCAGCCAAGATCATCTGGCTGGGACTTTTCCAATTACGTGCCAGGAAGGGCTGGGGTCAGGTGGGCCCCGAAAAGAGGCAGACAGTGGAAGGGGCTATGCAGTCATTCACACTCACCCCAGCCAGGGTCTCCTACACTCTTGTTTGGTGAGAAAGATACGAAACAGGGGTCTGAGAGCTGGGGAGGAGGAGTGTGTGAGTTCTAGTTCCTCAGGGAATGGGGGAGCAGTGTGTCTGCAGGTGAAGACAGGAGCAATGGAAGTGTCCTCTTCAACAGTGGGTACCACGGTCCAAGGACTCAGCCCCACAGAGGAGATTCTGAAGCCAGGCGGGATGGGCAGGGTGGCCTTGGGCAACTCTCTGAGCCTCTGGCCTTATCTGTGGTACTTACTTCTCAGAGTCACATGGAAGGAGGGGACACTAATGGGATGCATTCTGAAAGATCCTTAGTGATGAAAGCCAAATCTACACGTGCACACACACACGGACTCACACGCACGTGTAAACATACTGGCACATACGCAAACACAAACAGGCGTGTGAACAGGCACACACACGCTCCACACGCTCACACACACCTACTGCAATCTCAGAACCTCAGGGGCCACAAAGCACTCGGGGGAGCAAAGCCTGCACCCACCCCTCCTCCTTGACTTGGGGTCTATCCCTGGGGTCGGGGAGGGACAGGCAGGATGGCCAAGGGTTAGTGGCTCATGGTGCTTCCTGGACGTCCGTGGTCCTCGGCTGGTGCAGTCTACTCTCTCCAGACAGGACCAGCATCTCCACAAATGAATTCCCAAGGAGCCTCAAGTGGTCACATCAGACGACTCTGAGGAGGCAGAGCACCATGTCCAGGGCAGAGGCAGCTGTGCGGGAGTTTGTGCTTTGGCTGAGGCACTGGCGAACGTGGCAGACATGAGACTCTGTCCTGTGTGGCCCCAAAACTGCCCCACAGTCCTGCTCCTGGGCGGCCCGGGGCATGTGCACACTCCTGCACGTGCAGTCACACACATGCACACACATGCACTCACACACATACACTCACACTCACATGCACTCACACACGTGCACTCACACACATGCACTTGCATGCACTCACACCCACGCACGCACACACATACACTCACACACGTACACTCACAAGCACTCGCACATGTGCACTCACAAGCACACCCATGTACTCACACACGTACTCACACACATGCACTCACACCCATGCACTCACACATGTACTCACAAGCACTCACACACACGTGCACTCACACACATGCACTTGCATGCACTCACACCCACGCACGCACACACATACACTCACACACGTACACTCACAAGCACTCGCACATGTGCACTCACAAGCACACCCATGTACTCACACACGTACTCACACACATGCACTCACACCCATGCACTCACACATGTACTCACAAGCACTCACACACATGCACTCACACACGTGCACTCACACATGTACTCACAAGCACTCACACACATGCACTCACACACGTGCACTCACACATGTACTCACAAGCACACACGTGCACTCACACACCTACACTCACACGCACTCACACACGTGCATTCACACATGTACACTCACAAGCACTCACACACGTGCACTCACACATACACTCACACGTACACACACACATGCACACACATGTGCACTCACACCCATGCACTCACACACGTGCACTCACACACGTACACTCACACGTGCACTCACACACATGCACTCACACACGTGTACTCACACACATGCACTCACACACGTGTACTCACACACGTACATTCACAGTACACTCACACACACATGCACTCACACGTGCACTCACACACATGCACTCGCATGCACTCACACCCATGCACTCACACATGTACAATCACACGCACTCACACGTGCACTCACGTGCACTCACATGCACTCACACACGCACTCACACACATCACATGCACTCACACACGTGCACTCTCACACGTACACTCACAAGCACTCACACTCACATGCACTCACACACGTGCACTCACATGCACTCACACGCACTCACACACGTGCACTCACACATACACTCACGCACTCACATGCACTCACACATGTGCACTCACACACATGCACTCTCATGCACTCACACCCATGCACTCACACGTGCACGCAGACTCGTACACTCACGCACTCACACACGTGGACTCACACGTGCACTCACACACTCACGTGCGTTCACTCACGTACTTACTCGCACTCACACACATCACGTGCACTCACACACATGCACTCACACACGTACAGTCACACATGCACTCACACGCACTCACACACGTACACGCACACGCACATACATGCACTCACGTACATTCCCAAGCACTCACGTGCACTCACACACATGCACTCACACACGTGCTCACACACGTACACTCGCACTCACACACGTGCGCTCACACATGTGCACTCACACACGTACATTCCCAAGCACACAGTGCACTCACACACATGCACTCACACATGTACACTCACAAGCACTCACACACGTGCACTCATACACGTACACTCACAGGCACTGACACACGTGCACTCACACACGTACACTCACAGGCACTGACACACGTGCACTCACACACGTACACTCACAGACGCTGACACACGTGCACTCACACACGTACACTCACAGGCACTGACACACGTGCACTCACACACGTACACTCACAGACGTGCACTCACCTACACACAAGCGCTCACACACGTGCACTCACATGCACTCACACACGTACACTCACAAGCACTCACACATGCACACGTACATTCCCAAGCACTCACACAGGTGCACTCACACACATGCACTCACACACGTACACTCACAAGCACTCACACACGTGCACTCACACATGTACCTCACAGGCACTGACACACGTGCACTCACACACGTACACTCACAGGCACTGACACACGTGCACTCACACACGTACACTCACAGACGTGCACTCACACACACACAAGTGCTCGCACATGCGCACTCACACATGCACTCACACACGTACACTCACACACGTACACTCAAGCACTCACACACATACACACACACACATGCACTCACACCCATGCACTCACAGGCACTCACACACGTGCACTCACACATGTGCACACACAGCCTGCAGGAGACTAAGAAGCCCCCTGCAGGCATTTGGGAGGCAGCCTCTTCAGTTCTGCGGCTCATCTCACTCACCTGAGGATCCGATCAGAATTGGAGCTGCTCTTGGAAGGATCTCCTGTCTGCGGCTGCTGCTTCTCATGGGATTTGGCTAATTTTTCGGCGGCAGCAATGGGACACCCAGACAAACTAGAGGAAGGAAGAGGAGGGATATCTGAGCCTCCCCCTCCACGCCTGTCCTGTCCTGGGTGACTGCGTGTGTGGGCGTCTCACGGCAAGGTCATTCAGATGGGAGAACTCCAGGTGTGCAAGAAGCCAGAGCCGGGAATAATCCTGTCATTCTGCAGGGCAGGGGTTTTCTCTCTGACTCTGTTCTTGAGTCCTCAAAGTACAAGCTGCCTAGTCAGTTTCTGTTTTGGAACATTCTATGCCAATGACACACAAAGATGAAATATACCCTAAAGGCCTTGAAAGCTCTGGGCGAAGCTGCCTTCTCTGCATGGGTCCGGGTGGCCGGCTTTCCCCTCCCCGCGTCCTCTCCCTTGCCAGCTTCCAGGGCTGGGTTCTGCAGCCATCTCTGGCTCTTGTTCCGTTAGCTGCCCTGGGCAGCCCAGGGCCCCACTTGGACCACAACCTGGGCACTGACCCTGGATGACTCAGGCCCAGGTAAGCCTAAGACACGGAGGCAGCCGCTTCCTCTGTCAGAATTAAGTCAACTGTGAGCGCCAGTGCCAGTCCCGCAGCCAGCCCGGGAGGTGACGTGAGGGGGAATTGGCCTCTCTTCAAATGAAGTGACCTCAAAAGCTCTGGCAGTCCCTTCAGCTGAGCGTATGCTGGGGCAAAGGCATATCCCACCAAGGCCATGGCCGCCCATGACACTTTGGGTAAGGCTGGGAGAGTAGACCCCCTTGCCATAGAAGACGCGTCAACAACTATGCCTCGAGGGCGGTTGGGAAGCTTCACTTCCACCTGGGCCTCAGAACTGCCACAAAGCAGCCCAGAGTACAGTCCTGGCCTGCCGAGGTTACTGTTCCTGTCTGCCCTTTCCACGCAGGAGCAAGAGCCAGCGTGCAGAGGTTTTCTGAATGTGGGCAGGACACAAGCATTCACCTGGCTCTCCACATGGTCATTGTACCTCTCTTCACAGAGGGTGCATTGCTCGCTCCTCCACAGGCCGCCCCCTGCTCTCTTGAGACCCCCAGCTCATAGGGGTCAAGGCAGCAACCCCACGAGGTGACTGCACCTCCAGTTGCTGCTCTGCCCAAAGGGCCCTCACAGCCCAGGTGTGCCCTGACCTTATACCCACTCCTGAGGGCAGCAGGCAGGGAGAAGGGCAGCCCACAGGGCCAGAGCCCTGTCCCAGGTCACGGGCCCAAGGCCCAGACTGGGACACACAGGTCTCACCCAGGTGCCCTCCCACACATGGGGCCCCTCCCGGCCCCCACCCTGGCCCAGTTCAGTCCAAGTACCTTCTGTGCGTGTTGCGGTTGCTGTTCACGTGGCCCTGGCCTGTGCAGCCGGGAGTGGGGCACTTTAGCACGTTCTCATGCATGGCTAAGACTGTAAGAGAACCGGGGATGGAGGGAGCCAAGGCTGTCAGAGAATCTGGGGAGCACCAGCTGAGTGGGGAGCACAGGCTGAGGAGGAGGCAGGAGCCCTGTCCCAAGGCTGCTGCTTGCTGGGCGGTTGGGGGACACAGCAATTTAGGGCAGCAACGCAGGGCAGCTCCAGCCCCCAAGAGCCTGCAGACGTAACCCCCCACCCTCAGCGTGATCAGGGCACACCCCCCCCACCACTGTGGTCCCTCCCTAACCCCCCACCCTCAGTGTGATCAGGGCACGCCCCCCCCACCCTCAGTGTGATCAGGGCATGCCTCCCCCACCCTCAGTGTGATCAGGGCACGCCCTCCCCCACCCTCAGTGTGATCAGGGCACACCCCCCACCACCACTGTGGTCCCTCCCTAAACCCCCACCCTCAGTGTGATCAGGGCACGCCCCCCCCACCCTCAGTGTGATCAGGGCACACCCCCCACCACCACTGTGGTCCCTCCCTCCTGCGGCAGAAACCAGACTCAGCTTTAAAACCTCTCATTCTGTGGTTTGCTCCTTTAAATTTAATTTTCACAATTACTGCTTCTAGCCTAAAAATTAGAAGAAGTATTTGCTTCCCAAGCCTTCGGAGCACAGAGGTTGCTGCAAGAAGACCTCTCCCTTCCCAGCGTGGCTGGCACTGGCCTGTCCCCTCCCATCGATCTGTGACTGTGGGCTCTGACCCCGACTGGCGTCTCTAGATAGACAAATGGGCTGGTTGCAGGGCCCCAGCCTCAAAGGGCTCAAGTTTGGGCTAAGGCCGTTTGTGGGGGAAGGTGGGGAGATGTAAGGATGAGCATCTGGACAAACCAAAGGGGCAGGTTATGGCCCTGGGCAGGCCACACCTCCCCATAGACACCACCCAAACACCACAGAGGCAGCCTGAGCTTCAGAGTTAGGGCTAACGCTGCACAGAGCTACTCACTCTCTGGGGGGATCCTATCCTTGTGGGGACAGCCAGAAAGGCTGCGGTGGTGAGGGTACAACCCGGTAACGTGGCCAGTGCCATCACAGCCTGGTGTTGGACACTTGATCTCACGCTTCTCAGCTCTTGAAGGATCTAAAACACACAAGTCACATCAGTTAGAGCCCGGAAGCTGGGTGGTGAGCAGAGAGGGGGCAGGGGTAGCTCAGGACCCCTCTCTCTGGCTGTCCAGAGAGAAGAGAGGCAAGACTGCCCATGAGCTTGGACAGGGACTGGGGCTGGACAGTCAGGTGACCCTGAAGAAACTAGCCCACACTGGCTACCTGTGTGCAAAAGCCCTGATACTGCCCTGACCATCCCGAATAGCAGTTTGTGCAGTGTTTTACGGAGAACCACCCAGACGGCAGCTGGAGTCCTCCTTCCTCTCTCCTCTGACAGTGCGGAGGCCTCATGGGTCAGGCTTCTGCCTAGAGAGGTCAAGGCGTTTGGCAACATTCCTGCCAGGAGATGTCCTTGGAATTTGACAAAACGAGGAGGACGAAGGAGCTAAGAAACTTATCCAAGGCTGCATGACTAACATACATCTGGGCGGAAATTTAAACCCACATCTGGTATTGACCTCATCTAGACTCTGCAGGACCAGGCTGGTCACTACAGAGTACAGGGACCAGCAGGAGCACAGAGGACCCTCAGAACAGAGCTGACGTCTCAGTGAAACACCTTTGGACGAGCTGCCCCTTTGGGAGGGTGCAGAGGTCACAGAGCCAAACGCAGAACTCCCACTCCAGAGGGGGAGGCCCCGACGGTGGGCTCCAAAGGGAAGGAGCTTTTGCTCTGCTGCCCCCAGCTCAAAGGAGCAGGAAGTCAGACTTCCACCCATGTGGACAGGCAGCGGGGTCCTGAGGGGCTTCCAAACCCGTGCCCAACACCTGCCTCCTGGGCTTGCCGCCCCGTCCCACAGCCTCCGTTCAGAATTCTCGCCGCATCTGGGTCCCCACACGAGTCCCTTAGAAGCAGTCCCAGTCTCGTCTCTATCCTACTACACGTTCACATTGCACAGACACTCACAGCCCAGCCCGGCACTGCCTGGTGTTCTCAGCTTGGCCACCTGTGTCACCCAGGGCTGTGTCCCTTTGGGTCCATGCACTGAAAATCGATTCCTGAAGGCAGGACACCTTGCCTCTGGGTCCCCCTGTGTCTGTCCACAGGTCTGAGACCCTTGAAAACCTGGGCCTGGGGCTGTCACTTGGTGTCTCTGTTCCTCATACGTTTCCCACCCAATTCTGCGCTGATCTGTGTGGCCCAAGCACACCACACCAGGCCCTTAACACCTGTCCCTAAGTCTCACCTTTAGCCTGTGTCTCTTTGTGCCCATGGCCCCACAAGGCTGAAGCATGACAGTGCTGACTTAAATCTGGGTCCCCAAAGAGCTGTCCCGCCATCTGGGTTGCCCTAAAGGGTGTCCCCTCAAAGCCTGGGGTCCATCTCACCCTGAAACCATGTCCCACCTGTGTTCCTTAGTATCTTTCCCCTGGGCTTGTCTCATAAGCCTGGGTGTTCCCAGAAAATATGTCCCTCATGTCTCCACTGACCTGCCTATCATGCCCCTTGAATTATGTCTTGCTCTGGTCTGTCTCTCCCATGAGCCAAGTGCGTCTTCCCAGGGTTGACCTTGAGTCTGTGTCTCCTGCATTTTTGGTTCCTGGCTCCAGCACCTGAGTCACCTCCCATCCCAGTTCTCTCTCCTTATCTGCCCCTCCCTGGTCTCAGCTAACCCTTCCTGGGGGCACTCATTGGAAGAGTGCCAAGAACTCCCACTGCCCCCGTCCACCTGGAGAAGAGATGCAGGACTAGACGTGGGGAAAAAATAGGCTGAGGTCCGGGCAGGTCCCTAGTCTTAGGAGAAGAGAGGCCAAGTGCCAAAGCTGACCTGTCCAAGGCCTGGCCTCCCTGGCATGGCTCACTGAGGGAGCAGCCCCTGGCCAGCCCTGCTCCCCAGGCCCCTGTCCCAAGGAGGAATCTGAGATGGGCAGTCAGCAGAGCAGAGCCAGCCTGCTGTCCAGACCCTGACACCCCAGTAACAGTGAAGGCCGCAACCGTTCACTCAGGATTCGTCCTCAGACCAGAGCACTCCAGGCTCCCAGCTGCTCCCCAGCCATGTCAGCCCAGTCCCAAGCCCCTCCAAGCAGCCCTCCTTGTCTGTCCTCACCTCAACATCAGCCACTCAGTGCGGTCAGGGGATGCCTCCCCTATACCCTGCACACTTTAGAGCCAAATCCAGAGCAGATGCAGAGCCAGCGGCAGGCTGCTTCCTCTGAGGAGAAGGGCACCCCTCACCTCTGCCTGCTGGGCTCCACCCCACGAGAGGATCAGGATGACCCAGCACGGCTGTAGGAAACAGCGGGTTCTGTCATAGCACAATCCCTGCCACAAGTGTGAGTTGGGGTGGAAGGGACAGGACAGTCCCCACCCTCTCCGGATCCCAGATGCTGCTGTGACCAGTCACTGTGGGTGGGTCACTGTCCCTCCCACCTCCTCTCTCCCACCCGGTTCTTTCTCACACGTCTCCGCTCTACGATTGCTCTGGAAAGCAGTGTGGGCACCCATCTGCTCGGTATCTGACCACAGTCTGTGTCATGTATCTGTCCTTTTGTCTACTTTTCTGCCATCTCCCAGCCTCCTGTCCCAGAAGGGCTCTCAGCCTGCATTCGTACACTGGGGCAGGGGTGAAAGGGTGAGTCTGCAGGGCCAGGCCACCCCTGACCCCTACCTTTACTGTAGTAGCTCTTCCGAACAGTGTCCAGGGCCTTTGCTGCCTTCCCTGGCTCTCCCAGGCCCAGCTGGCTCTGCTCGGCAGGCGGGCAGCCCGGCTCACAGACCGTGCGCACCTGTTCAGCCTTCAGGGCAATGGCCTGCTCCAGGAGGCCCAGGTTGCCCCGGGTCATCATGTCGTGCATCTCCGACTCGTCAGTGACTGTTGACTTCTGGGAGTGGGTGTCCTCGTCCTTGTCATCATCCGAGCGGACCTCCACAATAACAGAGTACTCAGGCTTGGGACTGGGTGGTTCTGGGCCCTGGAGCTCAGGTGCCTTCTGGGCAGAGGTGTGAGAGGTGTCCTCCTGAAAGATCACATCAGGAGCTGCCTCCTCCTCCTCCTCCTCCTCCTCCTCCTCGTCCTCTTCCTCCTCCTCTTCCTCGTCTTCTTCCTCTTCCTCTTCTTCATCCTCTTCCTCCTCCTCTTCCTCCTCCTCCTCCTCCTCCTCCTCCTCTTCGTGACTCAGGATGCCTTTCTGCTTGCTGGACTCCTCACTGGCTGCATCCTCCAGGGACTGGGGACACAGGTCCTGGCAGCGTTCGGTGGTGACTTCTACGACCTCCTCGGCATCCTCTGGCTGGATGAAGAGGCCCTTTTCACCCTCCTTGCTGGCGGCTCCCTCTGTGGCCTCCTGAAGCAGGTGCACGACGCCAGGGCCTGGCTTGGCCGCCAGAGTCTCTTCAGCAATTTGACCCAAGTTCAGCAGAGAAGTGGCGATGATTCCCTGGTAACTGCTATAGCTGCCCTTGGAGGAGCCAGTGGGGTTGGATCCAAAATGGGACTTGATGGGGCTCCTTCCTGCACAAAATCAAAATCAACGTGGGGGCCAGAGAGCATGTGGGAAGACTCCAGGTCTCCAGTCCCCAACACACCCACCACCCCTCCACCTGACCTACCACTCACTCTTTACACGGGAGCCAAGCGGAAACACGAAACTCCCGAAGTGGGGATTTGGTATGCACTTTCTGTCAACCCTTCTGCCTGAATCCAGAAATCATGGTGAACATATTTCAGGAGGCAGGTCATGGGCCACTGATGTATTTTCTAAACTAAGAATTACTTGGATAGTTTTCCTTAATGTTCCTCTCTCATCACGTTTACTTTCCGAATCAGATCAACCTGCACTGTATACAACGGAGCTTAAGCAGCAAGTCAGATTTTAAAAAATAATAATTGTTTCATAATTGAAAAGCAGTAAATAAGAATGGGCGCGGTGGCTCACGCCTGTAATCCCAGCACTTGGGGAGGCCGAGGTAGGCGGATCACCTGAGGTCAGGAGTTCAAGACCAGCCTGGCCAAAATGGCGAAACCTTGTCTCTACTAAAAATACAAAAATGAGCTGGGCATGGTGGTGCACGCCTGTAGTCCCAGCTATTCCTTGAACCCGGGAGGAGGAGATTGCAGTAAATCAAGATTGTGCCCCTGCACTCCAGCCTGGGCAACAGAGTGAGACTCTCTCGAAACAAAAACAAAACAAAACTAAGATATGGTAGGTGCTCACCACACGCAGGCCCCGTAGGGTTGTCAGCAAGGACGCCTGGGCCAGCACGTCCCACAGTGGTAGGAAGAGGCCCTGCCATCCACCCACTTCGGAGGGGAAATCCAAGCCCAGGATGATGCCTCAACTCCAGACGCCCTTCTTGGTAAGAAAGCAGGAAAATCTGTGTCTCTTCTCCCTGCGATCTAGGACTATGTTGATTCCTCGGGGCAGCGCACTCACTCCAGGGCCCCCCTAGGGAGCTGGGGTTGAGGACCCTCTCTGGCTTTGCTTCTAAAATCCATCTCAGACCCTTCCCCATTGCAGAAGCTTGGGGAGTGTTGGGTGGGTGGTGGGGATGGCAGGGGGAGCGGACCTTGGGCCTCGTCTGACCCCAGTTCTCTACAGATCTGCCAGGGCTCTCAGGGGTACAGACCCCTCCCTCTGGAACCCAGGGGCCAAAGCACCTGCTTCACCCACTTCCGCCAAGGGCTCGGTGCCCCAACATGGCAGTCCTGGTAGACCCCCCAAGGAAATGGGGGACTCATCTGCTTTCCTCCTTCCCGTCTTGGCTTCCCCGGGCACCCCATTTTCAGAGGCCCCACCTGGTCCTCAATCACCTGAACTCAACCTGAGGTGTTTCCTCCGCATCTGCCTGTGAGTGCCTCAGGGGAAAGCAGATCTCTCACCCATGCCCCAGGCAGGTCTCCCAGAGGGCCCGTCTAAGACCCTCCCTTCCCCACACACAGACAGAGACACAGCCTTGTCTGTCTCTCATATACATGCAGACACCTGCCGAAACATGCTACAACTGCACACACACACACACACACACACCAGCCGCGTGTCTGTGTCTGCCCTGCCTCCCTCCTACACACACAGTGTTCACACACAAACACACCACAGGCCCCACAAACACCATGGGCAGACCTCTCTCCCAGGAAGCCCAGCACATGTTGGGACAAGACATGCCTTGTTCTCAGGAAGAGCTTTCTCTCGCTCAGAGTGAGCCCCTCCCCGCTCACAGGCTGCAATTCTCCAGGGCCACACTAAGCACCCTTTATTCGGAGAAGAAAGAGCGACAAAGCACCTTCAGCTGGCTCGGGGCGATGAATCTCCTCCTGTCCTGATGTCTCAGCCTCGGCCCCCTCCAGAGTTCCTTCCGATTCATCCGAAACAGAGGCGTCCTTCACCTCGGTGTCCTCACTGCCGTCGCTGTCCACACCACAGCCCTCGTCCAGAGCCAGCTTCAGGGGGTGCGACTTCCTCTTGGACACCAGGTGCTCAGCCTCAGCGCCCTCCAGCTTCCTCTTCTTGGCCAGGGGGCAGCTCTGTAAACTGGGAAGGAGGAGTAGGCAGTGGAGAGGGCCAGGCTAGGGTCACGAGAGGCCTCAGCCACCCCATGCGCCCCTCCCGAGGGTCCTCCCTCCCTCCCTCCCCCACAGACTCATCCAGTTCTTGCAGGGGACCCAGACAAGAAAACCACAGTGCAGTGCTGGGAAGTCAGATGGTCTGTCTTTCCCCACAGGGCATGCCCATGGCCACACGGGCCTCCAGGCTAGAGTGGGAGGTCACTGCCTCGCAGAAGGGTCAGCAGCCTGGCCTCAGGAGCCGTGGAAAAAGATGGAAAGTTCTCCATCTGCAAAAGGGCCTAGAACAGAGTTGGGCGGGCGGTGGGGGGCCTCCAAATCTGCTTCCCAGGAAGCTCTGTGAGATCCAAGGGTCCTCTTACCTTCGGTGCCTGGAGTACTTGCCCCGGACGTGTCCTGAGCCAGTGCATCCCGGGGTGGGGCAGCTGAGGGGAAAGAAAAAGGCGAGGTCACATCAGGCGATGGGTTCAGACCTCAGGGCCCATCGCAGACCTTCACCCTGGGGAGCAGACTCTCTCCAAACGATTCATCTCAGAACGGCTGCTTGCAGTTTGCTGAAAATTAATAACTCACCCCATTCAAATAAATGAATGGCTCGTTACAGTTTTACAAGTGTTCAATTAAAGACTGTTTATACGTAAGAGCAAGACTTCCAACACCAGAGTCTCCTAGACGGCTCCCTACGGCAGGCATTCCACCAGCTGCCACCAGGTTTCCAGGAGCTTGGACACAAGATACTCTGAGGTGCCCTGAACACAGTACCCCTCTCTAAAGAGGGCCCAAGTCCAAAGCACAGAAGTTGGCATTCGCTGTGTCCATCACTAATGCTATAAGACCTCTGGCCATCGGCGGCAACAGTCTCTGCATTCCCTGCCAGCTGTGACCTTCGTGCCCCAGCAAACTGAGCCAGGTCTGACAGGCAGAAAGGAATCTGTGGCCCAAGCCGAAGGCGGTGGGGAAGATTCCACCAGTGCCTGTAGCTGGTGTGAGTCCCAGCTTCCACGCAGGGAAAAGAAGCCAGGAGGGCCAATGAACCAGGAGCTGACAGGGTCTGCCTTAGTGGAAGACTCGGGCTAAGAAGGGTAGTTTGGGGAGGGGGTGATACTGACCCTCCTGCATCTCTCACCCCAGGGTTGGCAAGCACAAGGCAGGACACCCAGGAGTTCCTCTTCCTTAACCATCATCTGTCTCCCGATATAACCAAACCAGCAGGAAGCTCTGGAAACTTCTGAGCATGAGTACTGACTATGCCAATCACCGTGGCAGCAGGACCACAGCTCCCACAGCAGCCTCGGGGCCAAAGGGGCCGGTGCGGAGTGTGAGGCCAGAGTTCACCACATATCAGGCTCTTGCGGGCTGTCGGATGCATCCACGGCTCAAGGACTACAAGGAGCAGCCACTGTAAGACCCAGATGCCTGCGCCAAGTAGCCTAAGGCAAGTGGGAGGGGCAGGCCTGCGCTCCTTGCGGGAAGACAGAGGCTTTCCTGGCCAAGATGGGAAGACCTGTTTTGTTTTGTTTTGTTTTGTTTTTGTTATTTTATATATATATATTTTATACTTTAAGTTCTAGGGTACATGTGCACAACGTGCAGGTTACATATGTATACATGTGCCATGTTGGTGTGCTGCACCCATCAACTCGTCAGCACCCATCAACTCGTCCTTTACATCAGTTATAACTCCCAATGCCATCCCTCCCCCCACTCCCCATAATATGCCCCAGTGTATGATGTTCCCCTTCCCATGTCCAAGTGATCTCATTGTTCAGTTCCCACCTATGAGTGAGAACATGTGGTGTTTGGTTTTCTGTTCTTCCAATAGTTTGCTGAGAATGATGGTTTCCAGCTGCACCCATGTCCCTAGAAAGGACACGAACTCATCCTTTTTTATGGCTGCATAGTATTCCATGGTGTATATGTGCCACATTTTCTTAATCCAAACTGATGGACATTTGGGTTGATTCCAAGTCTTTGCTATTGTGAATAGTGCCACAATAAACATACATGTGCATGTGTTCTTATAGCCGATGATTTATAATCCTTCTGGGTATATATACCCGTAATGGATTGAGCTGGGTATATTGGTATTTCTAGCTTTGATCTTTCGAGGAATCACCACCACTGTTTGCCACAATGGTTGAACTATCTTGCAATCCCACCCAACAGTGAAAATCGTTCGCCTATTTCATCCCATAATCCCGTCTCCAGCACCTGCCGTTCCTGACTTTTTTAATGATTGTCCCATTCTAACTGGTGTGAGATTGGATATCTCAATTGTGGTTTTGATTGATTTCTGCTGATGGCCAGTGATGATGAGCATTTTTTCATGTTTTCTGTTGGGCTGTATGCCATGTCTTCTTTTGAGAAATGTCTGTTCGACTATCCTTTGCCCACTTTTTTTTTGATCGGTTGTTTGGTTTTTTTTGTAAAAGCTATGATTGATTCTTTATAGGCTGGCGGATATTTAAAGCCTTGGTCAGATGAGTGAGATGGTCAACAATGTTCTCCCATTCTGTAGTTGTCTGTCACTCTGATGGTAGTTCTTTTGCTGTGCGAAAGCTCTTTAGTTTAATTAGATCCCATTTGTCAATTTTGGCTTTGTTGCTGTTGCTTTTTGGTTTTTAAAACATGAAGTCCTTGCATGCCTATGTCCTGAAGGTATTTATCTAGGTTCTTCTAGGGTTTTTAGTGGGATAGTGTCTAACATTTAAAGTCGTCTGAAGTGCGACTCGGTGAATCGTAAGGTTTTGCATAGGAGTAAGAAAGGATCCAGTTTCAGCTTCTTGTTCATGGCTAGCCAATTTTCCAGCACTGTTATGAAATAGGGACCCTTTCCCATTCTATCTTTTTGCAGGTCGTGTTCAAAGATCAGATGGCTGTAGAGTGTCGGTATTGATTTCTGAGGGCTCTGTTCTGTTCCATTGTCCGTCTTATATCTCGTTTTGGACCAGTACCCTGCTGTTTGATTACTGTAGCCTTGTAGATAGTTGAAGTCA